TGAACCTATTGGAGACCAAGACATTTGTCTGCCTTTGAAGCAGATGTCACATGAGTTTCCTTCACACAAACATCACATGTAAATTTAACTTCTTGGTACTGTGCTTTAAGAACAAAAGCAGATATCGGAACATGGAGGACAGTCCTCCAGAAATAGCTTATCAGCTACAGAAAATAAGAAAAAAAAGGAGACAGTGGCCACTTACAAGTCTTCCACATGACTAGCTTGCTTTAAGGAGAGCATCAAGTTAAGGCAGTGTTGAGACAACTGGCTAAGAACATGCCAAATAGAGCTGTTGTCAGTAGTCACCAATTTGATAATCCTACTCCATTGCGGGGACGGGGCCACGTGGCTTTAGATCTCAGTATCAAGGTCTAAAGACTTCAGCCACAGGATGCCACTTTCTGCAGCAAGCAGCAGCTCAGGGGGATGGCTGTTAAAGTCTTCTAGACCAGGCTGAGTCGCTTACAAGTCTAGGTCAATGTTTCAGCAGCGCCAAAAATACAGTGATGGACACTGAAAGAGAACACCGAGGGTGCCAGCTGCAAGCCTGTTTATCACAGTCCGAGGTGGAGATCAACTTGGGTGTGAAAGCCACGTAATCAAGAGCCACCCCACCAGCTTTCAGGGAAGGTCTAAGTACCTGCACTGAGGTTACTGGGAGAGCCAGCTCTCTACAGTCTGCAGGGTGGGTACAGAGGCTCACACTGGCTTTGCTCCTCTTTACAAGATTAACAGTCTAATAAAACTCAGTAAGGAAGTCAGGATCTTTTGGCCTGCCCAAAGAAGTTTTCCCAGCCTCAAAGAAGGAGTTACCACTGAGGGAGCTGTTGTGGAATAGTTTTATTTCTTCCCACGTAAAGGCCATTGTTTTAAGCATTTACAGGTTTCCTAGTGCAATACAACCAAAAAAAGCAGTAACAAAAAAATGCCGCCTTCTTCCCAGGCAACTAAACAGAAGTAGATTTTTACTGCAACATATACACATTAAATATAGTATACAGTCCATGCAGCGGCATAGCCATGTTAAAGGGAGTCGTGGCTTCAGCCATCAGTGCATTACAGTCCAAATTTCACCTGCTCCTACTGCCTATCCAGACTTGAAGAGAAGAATTGCAACCTGACCCAAGTAAAAATAGATGAAGTGCTTTGTCTCGTGTGTTACATAGCTGCCAAAGTTTCTGCCAACAATGCAGTGCCAAGTTGGGTTGTATTTCTTGTCAAATTCCTGAAGAAAGAGAAGAGAGGCATTAAGGCCAAGAAAGCCCACATGAAAATAGTTCTAAGCACAAATTCTTAGCTGGTTCTGTCCACACACTATTGCCTCTCCTCCCACCTCCAGCATCTTTTGATTCCCCACTGCAAGACACTATCATATTAAGCACCCAGTCCTCTGCACTGGATAGTTTGAAGGATCCAACACAAGTAAATCAGCTCCCGAGACCTGGAGCACCCATCAGCCCTGGGCAGAACGAGCAGACACAAGAGCTCTCACTGGTACAGTCCATTCAAACCCTGCGTGTAGGCTAGCTCAGGGGAATATTTCCCCTCTCCCATTCCAAACCCACTCACAAAAAAATAAGATTCTGGCATGTCTGCTCCAGCAAAGCATTTCAGCTTAAAGGTCACCTAAAAAAAGCAAGGAGAAGTCTGGCTTTTGCTGTTTGGGTCTCTTCACATGAAGGGGAGAAAATGTGCACTGAAAGCAAGCAGGCAACTTCACAGGCCAGGCAGCACATGGAGACCTAAGAGGTCAGAGGTGAGCAAGATGAATGCTGGCTTAATAGTCTTCTACTTTGCAGGTAAGATGGGGTTAAAGACCGTTTTCTTCCCTCTAGTTAATACACAACTCCCAAGAACACCCTCTCCTCCACCAAGACACAGTCAAAAGAACAGACCAAACATTAAAGATTAAAGCCAGTGTTAGTCCTCAGACAGCAGCAAGACAGTTTGAGCTCTTTGCAGGTAACCTTTGAAGTAAGGAAAAGGCTTTCTTGCCAGGGCATGAAGGGCCACCAAATTGCATTCCTCCTCCCAGCACACTCACAGGAAATAAAGGCCAGCTTCTTTGCAGATGCCTTTTTTGTTGCACTCACTCACTTCACAGGCTGCACTGCCCCAAGCAGTTTGAGACAAGTCTTGCCTCAAAGTGATCAGAAAGGTTAGGAGACACCTTTGAATCCTTTCTACTCAAGCTTAGATTACAAGCAAGGCCCAAAAGCCAGGTGCTGGGACTACACTATGAAGTCACACTTTGCTCCTTCAAAAGCTCTTTGCCTGACCATTCAGAGAAGCAGCTACAGAGGGAACTGATGGCTCCCCAGATGCCATCAAGCATGAGCTCCTGCACATGAGGAGACACCTCTTCACAAGCCAGGGCAGCTGCCTGCATGTTTTTCAAGCAATACCTTGCACAATCCCACCAGATAGCTCAAGGCCCCATCCTCCTCCACACCACCCACCCCAGAGCAGGGAACACAGCGTGGAGAACTGCACGTGCACAGCTGCCCACTGTGAGTGAATCAGTAATCCCACCCTGCACTGGTACTGCAAGTGAAGCAGCAGCATCTCTGGAGCAAGTCCTAAACAGAGACTGCAGTTTGCCAGCTCTTTCTAGGCTGGCAAATCCAGAGGGACAGCACTCAACATCACTCAGAGCTTGCCAGAGCCCTCCTCTGACCTTGGAGAAGTCATTCCATCCTCTTGGGAACAGCAGTAAAAAAGCCAAGAAGAAAGCACCTTCTCCCTCCAAGCACACAGAGATGAAGTCTCAGACACTCAGGCTCATGACAGGCACACACACTTAACAGCTTCAGGAAGTCTCAGCCAGAGCAGCCCCCTCATCCCGTAGTTACCTTCTTTATATATGCTGCAATGTCCTTTTCTATGTTGTACTTCTCCATTGCCTGTGTAGCACAGTCCACAGCATCTTGCTGCATGTCCTCAGACATGTCCGCATTCTTGATCACAGCCTTTCTGTCAGACATCGTGAACCTAAGACAGAACATAGAATCCTTTAATTCCTTCCCAAGGCAGGAGAAGCTTCTTGTGCATTAGAGGTTGTCCTTTCTATGGCAGGCTGCGTCACAAGCAGATACTACAACCCCCCTGTTATGGCCAGGGTGAGTTTAACAGGGTAGCCTCCAGTAGTCCCTGTAGCCTAAGGTGCACCATACAGCTGGGGCACTGTAGCGCTGGCACTGTCTGGAGGTTAGATAAAGATGGTCCAACATCAACACCTGCATTAAATACGTGCAGAAAAAGCTTACTGTGTGGGAGGAGACGGGATCTGCAGAGAGCCAGAACACTCCTATAGATCAGTAGACTAAAGCCAAGTTTCCCTTCCAGGAGCACCAGTGGTTTGGAGCATCATCTGTTCAGAGCCTTGCAAGATCCCAGACTGCCCATCACCAGTAGGGAGACTCAGGAAGCATGTTAGCAGCAGTGCTTTTATTCCACCACCATCCCAGGAGTTATAGTTACTAGTTTAGCCTGGAAGAGTGATGGTGTTCCACATTCAGCCTATCATTCCCTCACCTCACTGCTGCTTTGCCACAGAAACCCAGACTTCAGCTGTTCCCACGGGACAAAGCCGGTCTGACGAGCTAGAAACAGGTTAACACCATGCTGCAGCCTAGAAACAGGGGCAGGGGAAGCAAGACCCACCACAGAGCTGGCACAGCCAGGGCCTGGCAAAGAAGTCTCCTTTCTGCCCTCCCACCCAAGAACCACACCACAGATGCTAGACACCAGCATGCCAGTGCTAGTAAAACTCAAAAGCTGTATCCTACAGCTGAGCATGCAGCCCTCTTCACTCTGTGTCAGTTCAGGTGTGTCACACCAGTCACTGAAGCCACTCACATAGATCTGCCATGGCCTTCCCAGGGAGACATTGAGCACTGGGAAATTTCCAGTGCCATTAGTATTATTCTAGAAAGCAATGCCAGCCCTGCAGCCTTTCTTCAAGCAAAGGCCACAACACTTATCCTGCAGAAGGAGCCCTGTGCAGTCCTGCTGCTGGCTGCCACTCTCCAACAGACCCCTGGCACTACATAAGGCCCAATCAGGAGGCACATGTTATCTAGGGGACCAGTCAAGCAAAGGTCTTCACAAGAAGGACCACAGCTGCTCACCTTGACTGCAGCTCTTACCAGAGCATGTTAAAACTTTGTGGGAATAAGCTTCTTAATGACAAGGAGTGCCTCCCATTAAGCCTGCAGAGCACCATTAAGTTTCCTAAGTCTTTTTACAGCGCTGTAGGTCTTGAATGATACTACCAAGCATGTTTTGAAACAGTGAAACTACACATTTTTAGCTCTACTGGGGAGTGAAGAAAATCTGCTGCAATGATCACTTCCTGGAGTAGTCCCAGAAAACTGAAGGAGTAGCTTTGTTACAGCAATTAAAGGAGCCTGCTACCCAGAGAGAAAGAGAATCCAGTTACATAATTGCAGCCCTATGATTACAATACTTCAATTCTTCACTCTGCCTGCAGTTGAAGGCTTCTATTGCAACCTTAATTTATACATTTTAGATACAGTGTTTAATAGAGCACTGCTATTAACATACGCTAATAGCATCAGGAGGGATGACAGCAACTGAGCTCAAATGCTAACAGAGAGCACACACCCCTACCACAGCTCTGGAAAAGCCACTTCCAGGCAGTTTGTTCCCCTCCGTGCTGTGGTTTAAGCCATGGGCCCAGAAAGCCCAGCAAGACAAGACGTGGCTCACAACAGCCCAGCCAACTGCCTGTAGATTTGGATTCACTACCCAGGCATCTGGCAATCTCTTGGAAAAAGTCTTCTGGGGGTTCAGCCCACAGGAAAAGAGAAGTAGTAGAAATTCACTCGTGGGTCATTCTTCCAGGAAAGCCTCTTTAGGGGAAGAGAAGAGGCAAGCTCTCACACACATCAAGCCTTCACACACCTCCTCTGCATGCTGAGTTCAGAGGGCATTTGCCATTACATAACCAGCCACAGAGTGACCTGCAAAAAGCATCTTCCTTCCTCATTGTTTAGGCAAGGAGCATCTCAGTGCAGGCCCATGCTGCCAAGGGCCAACAGCGCCATAGAAAAGCAAAATGATTCTCCTTCAGTAGAGCTGCAAGTGCTGCCCTCCCCACACCACAATGCTCCAGGGCACAGCATCCTTCAGAAGCCAAACCACAGCAGGGCCTGGCAGCCGGCTGTGTTGCTGCAGGGAGGAAGCCCCACGCCCATCGTGGGGCAGGGAGCAGCTTCAAGGGTTACTCCATTCCACCCCCCTGCACACCACAGAGCAGGGCCCCAGTCCCAGCTCATTACCCCCTGGGGTTACAGAGGCATCCTCCCCACAAGCAGCCTGGCAGCACCACACACACCTCTCTTCTCTAAACCACAAGATCATGGCTGACCCTCAGGGCCTCACCACTGAGTCTGGCCCTCTCTGAAGAAAACCACAAGGCCCCAGCATCCAGCCCAGGACAGGGCTGAGAGAAGTAATAGCACAGCTCCAGCAGCCACCCCTTCCCTGGTCCGGGGCAGGATGGGGTCTTGAAGGAGGAAGAAAAGGCCACAGCCCCAGCAGCCACTTCAGAGCAGGATGAAATCCTGGGAGGGAGGATTAGGCCCAAACCAGGACCCAACCCTTCCCTCAGCAAGGCAGGATGAGCTCTTGGAAAGAGTATAAGAGCGAAGTCCAGCACCCAACCACTCCCCCAGCAGGACAGGATGGGACTTCGGGAGCTGAATGATGCTCAAGCTCAGCACCTACTCCTTCCCTCACCAGGACAAGATGCAGCTTTGGAAAGTGGATGAGGTACAAGCCCACACACATACACT